TCAAATGTTTGTGGCAAATCTTAAGGTCTTAAATTTCTAACCAAAAGGCAAGTCATATAGTGCCAAAGGAGAACTTGCAGCCCAACTCTAAGGATCTCTAAATGAGTAGCTCACTTAGCTCCATTCTCCTGATTTCTAACACTACACAATCTTCCTTTTCTGCTAGTAGCCTAATTTCCTTTTGAATTATGGAGGTGTACAACCAACTGAATCATAAATGGTCATTTGGTAATACAGATATCCAATATTGTTGAAAACAAATACTGATTTAATCAAAATGTTTTACTTTTTAGGTTAATTTGCAAGAATTACCAAAGTAAAGGGGTAACAACTTTCATACTGCATGAGAAAAGAGTGCTGATAAGTTGGAAAGTGAAGTCTGATTGATAGAGGGGCTGCCGTGGAGAATAGAGGTGTTAATAATGGCAGATAGTTAATTCCCAAATTTTGTTTAAATTTTAAATCTCGCAGCTTGACTCTGATTAGTCAAGGCATTGCCCTGACAAATGAACCTGGTTTAAAATTGAAATAAAGCTTGGCAGTTAACTATCAGTCATCACTAACTGATGCATTCTCTGTAGCAATGCCTCTACCAACAGAGGCCACTTGCTGACCATTCAGCACTCTCTTCTCATGCAGTGTAAATGATGTCTTCCACTTGCTTTGGTAATGCTTTCAAATTGTCATGAGGAATCATAGATGAAAACCTTTCACGTAAATGTGTCTTTTTCAGCACTGTAAAGTCACAGAGTCATAAAGCATTGAAACAGACCCTTAGGTCCAACCAGTCCATGCTGAACATAATCCCAAACTAAAAATCAAAAGCTAAAGGAAAATATCACTTTTTGTTGACTTCTTTAGTACCTTGTTTCACTATATTTTGTACTTACACGAGCTTTTGGTGAAAAGTCATTATTTTGTGTACCAGCCATTGCTGGTTTGGAACATATATCTTGGATTGTAAATGTGTTTGGTCCAGTTCTTCATCAAAATCACCGACTTCAGCTTCAAAATAGAAAGTCAAAAAGAGGAAGGGGAAGCAAGGAAGAAGTAGAAAATAAATTGTCATATCACAGAATGGGTATATTAATTTGGGCTGACAGTCTAAGAAAGGGTAGGTGGATAATATGCTCAATATATGTGCAGTCTGTTTGTGAAAAGTACTCTTCCAACAGCTAATTTCACCATTACACAAGGTAAAATCATAATTGAGTCAGAACCATAAACATTAGCATGCAGGAACAATATTTCTTCTCTTTCACACTCTCAGTATATCACTCATAGGCAGAGTAAGCACTTTTTGCCCAATCGTTTGGAGAAGGTGGTGATGAGCTGCCTTCTTCAACTGCTGCAGTACATGTACACACAGCACTAGATAGAAAGTTCCATGATATTGACTCAGTGACAGTTAAGGAGCAATAATAAAGGTCCACATCAGGATGGTGTGTGGCATAAAGAGGAACTTGGAAAATTCTCATGATATTGGTGTTGATAGTGTAGCTGTATGCAGTCTAACACAGTTTGAGAAACATAGCTGTGTCATGGAAATGGATCACAACTCTGAATTGCTTATGAATACTAATCCTTTAAGTACAGCATGCATTTTGTTTTTAAAGGAAAGACATTCATGCCAAAGTATGGCTAAGAATGTAGATCCAGTGACTGTCCAAAATCCCCATGCGGACATGAAATGTCACATATGAAGAATGTCAAGGGAACTTCAGATAGCACGACTTCAAAGGGATAGATTCCATTCAAAAACTGAACTGCGACCTTGTGTGCATTGTATTTTAGATTACAGACATGCAATGATTTGAACGGAAGACTGTTCTGGATGAAAAACATGCTTGTGTTTACCCTTCCAGGAATACATAAGAACATAAGATCTTAAGAACTAGGAGCAGGAGTAGGCCATCTGGCCCCTCGAGCCTGCCCCGCCATTTAACAAGATCAAGGCTGATCTTTTTGACACTCAGCTCCACTTACCCGTCCACTCACCATAACCCTTAATTCCGTTACTGTTCAAAAATTTATCTAGCCTTGCCTTAAAAACATTCAGCGAGGTAGCTTCAACCACTTCACTGGGCAGGGAATTTCACAGATTCACAACCTTTTGGGTGAAGAAGTTCCTCCTGACCTCAGTCCTACATCTGCTTCCCTTTATTTTGAGGCAATGCCCTCTAGTCCTAGTTTCACCTGCTAGCGGAAACAACCTTCCTGCCTCCACCTTATCTATTGCCTTCATAATCTTATATGTTTCTATAAGATCTCCCCTCATTCTTCTGAATTCCAATGAGTATAATCCCAGTCTACTCAGTATCTCTTCATAATCCAACCCTCTCAACTCTGGAATCAACCGAGTGAATCTCCTCTGCACCCCCTCCAGTGCTAGTATAATTCTTCTCAAGTAAGGAGACCCAAACAGCACACAGTACTCCAGGTGTGGCCTCCCCAGGACCCTATACAGCTGCAGCATAGCCTCTCTGTTTTTCAACTCCATCCCTCTAGCAATGGTAGACAAAATTCCATTTGCCTTTTTAATTACCTGCTGCACCTGCAATCCTACTTTTAGCGATTCATGCACAAGGACACCGAAGTCTCTCTCTGCACAGCAGCGTGCTGCAATTTTTCACCATTTAAAACATAGTCCATTTTCCTGTTATTCCTACCAAAATTGATGACCTCACACTTATCAACATTGTACTCCATCTGCCAGACCTTTTCCCACTCACTTAGACTATCTATATCCCTCTGCAGACTTTCAGTGTCTTCTGCACACTTTGCTCTACCACTCATCTTAGTGTCATCTGCAAATTTTGACATACCACACTTAGTCCCCAACTCCAAATCATCTATGTAAATTGTAAACAATTGCGGTCCCAACACTGATCCCTGAGGCACACCACTAGCTACTGACCACCAACCAGAAAAACACCCATTTACCCCTACTCTTTGCTTTCTACTGATCAACCAATCCTCTATCCATGCCAATACATTATCTGTAATACTGTGCAACTTTATCTTATGTAGCAGCCTTTGGTGTGGCACCGTGTCAAATGCCTTCTGGGAATCCAGATACACCACATCCACAGGTTCCCCATTGTCCACCATGCAAGTAATGTCCTCAAAGAATTCCACCAAATTAGTTAAACATGACCTACCCTTCATGAATCCATGTTGGGTATTCCCAATGGGACAATTTATATCCAGATGTCTTGCTATTTCTTCCTTAATGATAGATTCAAGCATTTTCCCCACTGCCGAAGTTAAGCTAACTGGCCTATAGTTACCTGCTTTTTGTCTACTTCATTTTTTAAACAGTGGCGTCACATTGGCTGTTTTCCAATCTGCGGGAACCATCCCAGAGTCCAGTGAATTTTGGTAAATAATTACTAATGCATTTGCTATTTCCCCCGTCACCTCAATACACAAGAAAGGAGGTCATAAACCGAACTGTAATCCTTGGTGAGTGTGTGCTAGTGTGCTAGCTTGTGGTTCAGGTAACACTGTAGTAACATGTGCTGTGAAGGGACACAACCAGGGTTTCCACCAGACAAGCCTGCCTGTGCAGGTAAAGAGAAAAGAGTCTCCCTTTCTCTCTGATTGGAAAAAACAAGTCATCCGAAGATTCGTTGTTAAAGGAAACTGAACAGATTCCATTCCGCTCACTGAATAACCAACAATTCAACTGCCAAAGTGAGAGCTAATGGAACAATCCACCTCACTGGCTGAAAAATTTCACAATTTATTCATCATGGACAAGCCAAAGACTGATTTGTATATTCTTTTCTATTGCTTTTACTATTTGGACATACCTCTCATTTCTAAGGTGTTTATGTGGGTCTTGCCTTTTCGTTCCTTTTCTCACATTTTTGAAGCTAATAAACTCACTCTTTCTTTAATCTCAAGGAAGTTAATCTCAAGAAGTTAAATTGGCTCCGTTGAAGACAAACGTACGTTTGGTCTGGGAGATGGGTATCCAGAAGGGAGGGGAGTATTTTGAAATGAAACTTTTGGCAACCATTCTAGGGGTGTGGGTGGGTGAATAATGAAGGGGAGCTAATTCATGCCTCCTTACGTAAGGATCATGTTGAGATGGAGACCTTCACCCAGAGACCAGTCGTGACAATAGTTAAGCCTGCATTCTACTCTTTCTCATTGGTATGACATATATCCACCAGTTATACCCTGTATACATGTTGTATGACTGCGGGAACAGTTTGTGCTGGGTCCGTCAGGGCAGTTAAGCAGAGACCAAGGAGGAAAAGAACCAACACTTGCTGTGAGGATTTCCTTTGGGAATTGATGAACTCTGGTCACACGGATTTCCCCCCGGTGGCCATGTTTAGAAGCTTGGCATTTGCCCGAAGTTAGTTATCAAGCAGAAAATCTGCCATCTGTGCTCAGACATCACGTCTAGTGAGGCTGGAAGATGATACGATTGCCAGGTCAAACATAGGGAACAGATGATAGCTCAAGGCCTGGTTCTCGGGAAGCTTCATTCCCCACTGGTCAACTGAATTGCTGTGTAGTGCCCAGGGATGTGTATGCTAGGTGGGTTAGCCAGGATAAATGCAAGGTCAGGGATTCTTTTGGGAGGATCAGTGCAGACTTGATGGGCTGAATGGCCATTTTCTGCACTGTAGAGATTCTATGATTCCATGAATAAGAAGCATCCCACATGCAGGGTGAATAGGGATCTGACAGGCTGACTTTTGAATTATCAATAGAATCACTACAGTGTGGAAACAGGCCCTTTGGCCCAACAAGTCCACACCACCCTTGGAGCATGGCACCCAGACCCATCCCCTGATAACCCACCTACGCTACACATCCCTGAACACTACGGACAATTTAGCATGGCCAATCCACCTAACCTGCACATCTTTGGACTGTGGGAGGAAACCAGAGCACCCAGAGGAAACGCACACAGACACAGGGAGAACATGCAAACTCCACACAGATAGTTGCCTGAGGGTGGGATTGACCCCAGGTCCCTGGTACTGTAAGGCAGCAGTGCTAACCACCGTGCCACCCCAAATATAGCTACCAGCCTCAGTGAGTCAGTGAAAATACATGTACATCTGGCATGGCCATCAATTGGAAGCTTTTATCCATTTAATAATAAAAAATCCATTACTGCAGTTTTCAGCAGGGAGCCCAGATTACGTCCGCTGCTCAGTGAAATATTTAGCCTTCTTTTGAACTCCATTGGATGGGTAAGTTTAGCCATTACTCACCCTGGATGATGTGAGACAGTAACAGTGCGGTACTGTTGTCATTGCAGTGAAGTCTTCCAGCAAGCAAGTCCCGTTTGATTTGCTGAGCAAAGAGATACCTGAAAAAGTGACAAGGTCAGTTTGAATATCTCCAACCAAATGCATCCAGACAGACAGGCAGTAATGACTCCCCCTTGGGACACTCCATAGCAAATGCAACAGAGACAGCGGTCATTGAGCCCAATGAATGTGGGTCAGCTGCGGATCTTGTCTCTAAGTTAGGAGAGCATAGGTTCAAGCTTTCAGTCAGAGATTTGATCATAGAAGCCTATGAATAAGTAGCAATAGGCCATCCAGCCTGTCGAGCCTTCCCTACCAATCAATAAGATCATGATCTAATTGTAACTCTGATAACCTTTCACCCCATTACTTACCAAGATTCCATCCAACTCTGCTGTGTAAATATTCAACAACTCTGTTTTCAGCACTTTCTGAGTTCTAAAGACACTGAGAGAGATTCTGAGAGAAAAACTGTTCTCCCTATTTATGTCCCAAATGAGCCATTGCTGAGTGACCCATCTTTCTGGATTCTCCCATCATCCTCTCCACATCCAAGTCTGCTTAAGATCTTCTATGTTTCCTTATAGGCACTTGAATATGGCACTGAGGAAGTGATGCACTGTCAGAGGTGCTATCTCTCAGATTGGATGTAAAACTAAATCCCCACCTGCCTACTGGACTGATTCCAGCGGATCCTTTAGCCCAATTTGAAAAAGAAAACAAATTAGTTCACCAAGTGCCTTGGTCAATATTTTAACATGAAATAACATAACTTAAAGCAAATCATCAGATTACCTCATTGCTGTTTGTGGGAGCTTGCTGTGTAAGAAATGAGTACTGTTTCTCCTATATGACAGTAGAGATCACAGTGTATTGGATTTGGCATTTGACCAATCCTAATAGTGCTTGAGGAGGTGATAGCAAGCTACCTTCTTGAACTGCTACACTCTTTGGAGTGCCACTGTGCATCAGTGGTGCTTGGAGTGAATGTTTAATCAAGAGGATGGAGTGCCAATCAAGCAGGTTGCTTTGTTTTTGAGTATCGTTGAAGCTACACTCATCCAGGCAAGTGGGGAGTATTCCATCACACTCCTAACTTGTGGCTTTGAGATGAGCTGTTCCAAGGAAGGGTCAATCGACCCAAAATGTTAACTCTAATTTTTCTGCACAGATGCTACCAGACGTGTTGAGCTTTTCCAGCAATTTCTGTTTTTGCTTCTGATTTACAGCATCCACAGTTCTTTCAGTTTTCATTGTGTTTGAGATGATGGACAGTCATTTGGGGAGTCAGGAAGTAAGGTACTCACTGCACGATTTCTAGCCTCTATCCTGCTCTTATAGCCAAAGTATTTATATGGTTGGTCCAGATCAGTTTCTGGTTAATAGTACCTGAAAAGATGTTGCTGGTGGTGAGGCTCAGCAATAATAACTCCATTGAATGTCAAAGAGTGATGTTTAGATTCTCTCTTGTTGGAGATGGTTAGTTCCTGACGCTTATGTGGCACAAATTTTACTTGCCATATGTCAGACCAAACCCAAATGTTGCCCAGGGCTTGTGCTTCAGGAGTTATAAATGTAATGGAACATGGTGCAATCATCAGCAAATAGCTCTATTTCAGACCTAATGATGCAGGGCAGGCTGTTCATGAACAACTAAAGATATTAGGACATAGGACACATCTATTGTGAATTCCTGAAGCAACGTCTTGGCACTATAATTCCAGCATCTACGGCTATCTTCAAATTAAAATACTTTGAGAGAGAAATTCATTTGCATAGTGCTGCTTTGAACTACAAGTCACCACAATGGTATCAATGCTGAATGCTCACTGGCTGTGCACTGGATCTGTCTAACACGACTAGAACTAAGATCAATGTGTTTCTCCCCCTTTAAGACTTTTGATGACAATTGTTTATGTAACTGTGCACAACATGTATGTCCAAAAAGGAGTAAAAATGGATCAGCAGCCACATCCCAAGTGTAGGTGACATGATGTTATTCATATTGGTGTTCCATACAGGGATTGTTAAACACTTTTTCCTTCAAATAAAGAAGCTGACAGTTCTCATATTGCATTTGCAGAGAGTTGTGCCCTTTGAGGGAGCAATTTTCAGGTTTTCACCCCAAAACCAATGGGTTTTACTAAAAGAAAACTGATAGCAGCCTTGGCAGTTCAGGGATATGTTGTAATAGATTAGTGAGACACTCTGCCTAGTTCAAAAATATATACTACATCTCTACCCAGAGCAATGAGTTTAAGAGTTGGTTGAGGGGCAAATATTGGAAACACCCTGCTCCTCTCCAAAATAGCCCCATGCTATCACTTATGTCTGACTGATGAAGCCTCAGTTTAATGTTCCATTGGAAAGCCAGCACCTCTGTTGTGTGGCAGTGAAGGGTGACCGGGATTTGATGCCAGACAGGGACAGCAAAGTTTTGGAGGAGTTCAAGTCTACAAAGAGGTATAGATGGGAAACCAGGCTGCAGAGTAATGGAATATTTGGGTCTGGAGGCAAATGCTGGGCTAGAACAAGGGCTAGGGTTAAGATTAGGGTTAGGGTCAGAACAAGGCCAGGGATGTGTGGAGATGGAAGCTGGTGATTGACTGGATTAAGGAGTTAGAAGTTTGCTTCAGGCACCGAACACTGTAAGCAATTTGACTCAGCTCAGACAGCACCCAGGGAGAGGGGTGAAGGCAATGGCTCCGGGCTTGTGGTTGCAACTGAACGCAATGACTCCAGTTAACGGGAATTTCTTCTCATCCAGTACTGGCTGTTGGACAAGCAGCAGGATGGTGGCAGTGAGAGACAGTACACAATTGTAAGTGATGCCATAACCTTCTGACTCTGAAGAAACACTGTTACCACTGCATCATGGTTAACCATTGTGGATAGTTGCAGTACTGATACTGATAGATATTAGTGCTCTTGTTAGTGCATCCACCCAGGATCCACCAATGAAACAAAAGCTCTCTTAAAAATCAAGAATCATGAACTATAAGCGCAAGTAACATTCAGTTGCTTCGGCTTCTGGGGTCAGATTGTTGACGTTAAGGAGTTGCATATGAATTATCATGTTAAAAGTTATAATATAGAATACCAATGGCTCCCCAGTAAAACATATCTGTATTAATTATTTATCTTCATACATTGAAGAAGAAAAATAACTTGCATTTATATAATGCCTTCCAGCACTCAAGATGCTTAGCAGCCACTAACTACTTTTGGAATGTAGCCACAACTATAATGTCAGGAGTACAGCAACCAATTTGTGTACACAAAGGTCACATTGAGAAATGCCACTCTGTTTTATTGATGCTCTTTAGCCAGGAGATGTCCTTCCTCTTCAGCCGAAAAGGGATTTTTTACATTCATCTGAGAGGAAAGATGGGGTCTCAGTTTAAAGACTCATTGGTAAAATGGCACCTCCAACATTTCACTGGAAATGTCATATTTCTGACAGCGTGGAAAGACAGTGAGATAATACATAAATGCTGCACATTAATGGTAACCTTGAGACAAAAGCCCAAATAAGTGAAGCTGTACTTGTTCTCTTTATTATTTCATGGGACATGGCTGGTGCTGGCTGGACCAGTATTTATTACCCATTTCCCTTGAGAAGGTGCTGGCAAGCTGCCTTCTTGAACTGCAGCAGGCCATGGGGTGTATGTACATCCATGTTACTGTTAGGGAGGGAGAATTTTGATGCAGACACATTGGACGAATGGCAATATACTTCCAGGTCAGGATGGCGAGTGGCTTGAAGGGGTACTTGTCCTTCTAGATGAAAGAGGTCATAGATTTGGGTGGAACGTAATGAAAAGAGAAAATGAGAGGGCAGTGAGTGTGTACTGTAATATAAAGCACAAGTACAATTAACTTGTTCACTTCTATAAATAGCATTCAGTTAATGTACTTTCAACCTCTAAAGCTAATTTCTGAAACATATCTGATTGTTAAGCATTGTGTTAATTGCCTTTTTATCATGAGCAATGATGTCATTCTGGAAACATTTACAGTAATTAGAGAATCTTAATTTGAGAATTCCTAAGGAATGACAACAAAGTCATAAAAACAAACCTTCAGATAATTGGAATAAAACAAAATCAGTACTTTCAGAGCCAATGGTGAACAAAGTATAATGTACATTTCCTGGAAACAGAGCCGGTGAAAGCGGCTCTGTTTCCAGGAAATGTACAGTATACCTTGTTCACTTGGTCTTTGATCCAGTTAATCAGATGGACTATCACTTGAAACTAAGTACTGATGTAACATCAAGCACTGATAGAGGACCTCTCCCATATTTTAACCTGTCACTTTGACGTGTCTTATGAAGCATGGTCATTTAGAAAGGTGAGTTCCCGCCAGTGTGTAAATACAAGGATAGAAATAGCACGACATACAACAGAGCTGCTTCTCCGGAAAGAGTAGGCCTCAGCTGCCATACTTCAGACTTCCCTCTTTCCTATTGCTACTTCCTTCTTTTCTTCGGTTCTCCACACTGTCAAAGTGCCAGTGGCTGCAGAGGTTTCCACGGTTGTGGATTCGAACCTCAACCCAAGACAGACAATCTGAATTGGGGTCATCCAATATACGTTGGTCACAAGTGAAGTCAAAGCAGACTTTATGAAAGGACAGTCTAGGGTGCTAATTTAGCTTGTGCATTCCACAGTAGAGGAGAGGGCTATACCCACCTTGTCAATTCATCTTGGAGCTGTCCTGGATCAGGTGGAAAGAACTTCACTACAAATTGGAACAGAACCTTCTTCTCCCCTTTCAAAGGAACATGAACATTAGTTGGACATTAAACAAAGCAGAAAGGTTTCATAAATTAAAAAAATCTGAAGAAGGGTCCAGACCCGAAACGTCAGCTTTCCTGCTCCTCTGATGCTGCTTGGCCTGCTGTGTTTATCCAGCTCTACACCTTGTTATCTTATTGCTAGTGTTTATGCTCCTTGCGAGCAGTTTTATTTCCATTTATGCACCCTGTTCTCATATCCGTCACTAGCTTTTCCTTCACCTACCTCTCCAATGTAATCTTAAATCTGATCATTGGATACCAGAGGAATGTGCTGGGGTCTTAATTATTTACAATTTTTACAAGTGGTTTGGATGAAGGGATCTGTGCATTTCTTCAGATTTGCTGAAGATAGGAAGGCAAGTTGAAAATAAATTGTGAGGAGGATATGAAAAATATACAAAGGGATGTAGATAGGTTAAAAGTGGACTATAATATTTTGTGGGAATCTGAAATTATTCACACTGGTTAAAGGAACAGCAAAGCAGAATACTACTTATATGGAAAGGTATTGCAAAATGTCTCAGCACGGTGGGACTTGCGTGTTCATTTATATATGAAGCATAAAATATAAGCATGCTGGCACAGCAAGTAATTCAGAAGGCAATGGAATGTTGCTCTATATGGCAAGCAGGATGAATTATAAAAGTAGGCCTCAGTCCATCAAGTATGTGCCAGTCAAACCAACCATTTAACCATTTTAATCCCATTTTCCAACACTTAGACCATAACGTTGTTTGCTTTGGTATATATCAAGTGCACATCTAAGTGCTTCTTAAATCCTATGAGGATTTCTCTACCACCCTTACAAACAGTGAGTTCCACATTCCAACCACCCTCTAGGTGAAAAGGTTTTTTTCTCACATCTCCTTTAAACATCCTGTCCCTTACCTTAAATCTATGGACGCTGATCATTTTCCCCTCCATCAAGGGAAAAATTTTCTTCCTGTCTACACTATCTGTAATCCCTCATAATTTTATCAATCTTAATCATGCCCCCTCTCAATCTCCTCCATTCTAATGAAAACAACCCCAGTCTGTCCAATCTCTCTTCATAACTGAAACTCTCCAGTCCGGCCAACATCCTGATAAATCTCCCTCTGCACCCTTCCCAGAGCTATTGCATCCTTCCTGTAATATGGATTTCCAGAACTGCACACAATATTCTAGCTGTGGCCTATTCAAAGTTTTACGCAGTTCCAGAATAATGTCCCTGTTCTTAAATTCCATGCCTTAGCCATTAAGGTAAGTATCCCAAATGCCTTCTTAACCACTTTACCCACCTGTCCTGATATCTAAGGAACCAGTGTACACGCACACCAAGGTTCTTCTGATCTTCAGTGTTTCCCACGGTCCTACCATTCATCATATATTCTGTTGCCTTGTTTGTCCTGCCTGACCATGTTACTGTTCATTTATTTGATTGAATCCCATTTGCTACTGATCAGCCCATCAAACCAGACTGTCTGTATCAATCTGCAATCTAAGGCTACCTTCCTCACTATTTATCACCCACCGATTTTTGTACCATCTGCAAACTTACTGATCAACCTCCTATAATCAAGTCTAAATCATTTAAATAAACCACAAACAACAAAGGCCATAACACTGCTCCCTGTGGGACCCTGCTGGACACAGACTTCCAGTCAGAAAAACTGACCCCAACCATTAACCTCTGCTTCTTGCCACTCAGCAAACTGTGAATCCAATTTGCCAAATTTCCTTGGATCCTGTAGGCTCTTATTGTTGCTACCAATCTGCCATATGGGACCTTACCAAAAGCGTTACTCAAGTCCAAGTAGTTTACATCAAAATCACAACCCTCATCTACACATCAGGTCATCTTTTCAAAAAATTAAATCAACTTGGTCAGACATAACTTCCCCTTAACAAAGCCATGCTGACTGTTCTTGATTAATCCCTGCCTCACTAAAAAACAGATTAATTCTGTCCCTCAGAATTGCTTCCTATTGTTTCCCCACCACCAAGGTTAGACTGACTAGCCTGTTGTCTCCTGGTTTATCCCTTACTGCCTTCTTGAATAATGGTACCACATTGGCTGTCCTCCGGTCCTCTGGCAGTAAAAAAAAATGAATAAAATCAATGGTTCCCTTCAGTCAGTCAGACAATTGCTGATCTGGACATCAACTCCAGCACGTCACCAATATTTCATATCCTTGGAATTGCTTACACAATAGAAATGACCTCACTCTTAAAAGTTCAAATTGATCACTAGGATTCAGTTTAGCAAGTTTTAGGGAGGGTATTCTAGAGCTTAAAGCCTAGGTAGCTGAAGACATGGGCCACCATTAGTGGGGCAAAGTTGGAAATGCTGAATGTTTCATGTATTGGGTAAAGTCACTTTACATAGAGCCTTCATTTAACAAAAAAAACTACTGTACACAGTCACATAGCAAAGATAAACTACAGCACTCAAGAGGCACAGTGAACAAAGGCATTTCTCCAATCAATCAAGAGGCCAGAAGAAGATTAGCACAAATGTCTCTGAGGGTTCTGGACCTGGAGGAGATTAGAATAGAATAGAATGGAATGGAACAGAATAGAATAGAATATCCTTTACTAAGATGTGTACTCCAGTACAAAAGTACAGTGAAAAGTTTTTGCAATGGCTGCTTTCTAATGCCATCATCTTAGGTACAAGTACCTAGGTTCAAATCCTTTGGAAAGAAAAGAGGAATAAAAGGAAAATAAAAGGAAGTAGCATTACTTACAGTGTCTAAAAAGTAAGTCAGAAATAAGATAGTTGTAACATCATTAAAGGATTGACATTACAGTCTGGTAAAGAAATCGAAATAGCAGCAGCTCAGCACACACCAGGCCCTAGTCCAACTGTCCCACCCCACTCCAACCCTCCAGCTCAAGAACAACATTTTAATCCTTTGATTTTTCAAAGAATTATCAGTGTCACTGACAGAGATGTGTTAAGTCAGCAGCAATCATCGAGTAACACAACTGAACATGTGACAATGTCTCACTTCACCAGAATCCACAAAGAAGAAATTAAGATGGCGAAGCTACTCAGCAAGTCGAACCAAAGAGCTCATGTGCTTCAACACAGTTGATCAACACATCAGCAGATTGAGAACAAAGATTTTCTTGAACAAAATAAGATGAGCTGCATGTGAATCCAGAGAAGTCAGACCTACATCCACAGATTCAGGACATGGTCAAAAAGAAGGAATTACCTGTTGTGAAAATCCAGGACACTACAAAGGAGAAAGCAGTTGTTTCTTTAAGCAGTTGCTTTCCACGATAGTCATTCGTGAGATTGAAGGACACCCAACTGATGTAAGGAGACAACTATTCAAGTTGACAGGGAAGAGTTCATTTGTGAAGGGAATTCTAGAGATTAAAGATCCTCCAGGTAAGGTAATGACCAACTGTTGAGTGTTGCAAGAATGGCATCTTCCATGAAGGATTTGCAAAAGATAAAGGAATCCTCCAGTGAAGAAATTCCTTACACAAGTTCTGAATCAAGGACAACAAACCTCAAGCCAAAGACGTACCAACCTTGCCAATCTTTTTAGAACACATTCTGGAAAAATTATGAAACCTCCTGATGGTCTTAATTTGTGAGGTCAGAAATTTGAGGATAAGGGGACATGGTGTAATGGTAAATGTAGAAGTAGGTATGTACTACAATGTATAAATGATAACTTTGGAGCAAAAGCTTGGAGGGAGACATTAAAAAGCTAATAGTTCTGAAAGGGATAATTTTGGAGATATTACCTGGTAGTGGTTGATTCCATAATCAAGACAATAACAATTGCCGTTCACATCAGTTTCAATGTTGACTGTTATAATATCTGAGTGCTACGTGTGTTTCGCACAGAAAGAACTATCTTTCCTTAAAGTTCACGCCCAATTAACTTGAACTGATTACAAAAACAAAAAGCAGTAAATAGGAAAACACTGCACAATAATAAAAAGATGCATGTTGTTAGTTTTCACTAAAACTTTTTGTATTTAAGGATCTTCTACTCCACTTGCATAGCTATAAGAATAGAGCACCCACTCCTGACTGCTGTGTAAGTGAAAGTAATCTCATAGCATGCATCCTTATTTTGTTTATTTGTGATTCTGAAATTTTTGCTTCCTTATTTAAAGAAGGGTGTAAAAATGCTTTGAAAGCAGTTCAGAGAAGAGTGGGGTTGTCATAATGAGGAAAGGTTGGACACATTGGCTTGTATCTGCTCGAGTTTAGAAGAGTAAAAGACAACTTGACGAAAGATAAGATTCTGAATCTAGAACTAGATTATCTTAATAAGATTTGAGAGCACTATGTTGGAATACATTTGACATCCTCTGATCTCAATTTGAAAAGCACATTCTTTCCTACTAATGTGTTTAGACACAATCTTTCCTCAAAATATATATATCCAAAGGGTATGAAAGGGTGGATATAAAAGGATGTATTCTCTTGTGGGAGAGTTTGGAATCAGGCATTATGGTTTAAAGATAAGCGGTCAGCCGATTAAAACAGAGATGACGAGAATTTTTTTTCTCGCAGTGGGTCATGTGTCTTTGGAGTTGTCTTACATAAAAGGCAGTGGAATCAGAGTCTTTGAATGTTTTTAAAGCAGAGGTGCAGAGATTATTGATATGCTAAAGGGGGGGATGATTATCAGGGGAGGTAGAAATACTTAATAATTAGGTCAATCATTACCTTATTTCTTAGTGAAGCAGGCTCATGAGGCCAAATGGCCTATTCCTGCCCTCTAATTCATATGTTTGTATCTGTGCCAAGCCTGCTATCAAATAGAATAGGGTTCTCTTGTGGTGCAGTGGATGTAGTCCCTACCCCTGGACCAGGAGGCGTAGGCTCATGTCCCACCTGCTCCAGAGGTGTGTAATAATATCTACGAAAATGTTGATTAGGTAAAATAGAAGACGGCATTTTACTCACCAAAGCAACGTATATTTACACAAACACACCCAAAATAAATTACGGAAACTATAACACTTGGTTGACCCTGAAATCCTGCAAATGTTGTTGTAGGGTGAGGGAGTTGGTGGATAGTGCACTGCTGAGGTAGAGGCAATGCTGGAGGGAGTTCTGTCAACATCTGGTTCTGCCATCCCTGAGCTGGAAAAGCTGAGCTCTGACGCAAAGTCATTGAGCTACAGAGTGAGCTGCTCCCTGGCATTGACTGCACCCACCTTCAGTAGGGCTAGAATAAAGATACTGGCAATGATCAACGTAGCACTGAAATGGAGCAAAAGCAAAAGACAGTGGATGCTGGAAAAACAAAGTAAACAAGTATCTTCACTTCAAACCTGCTCAAAAAGTAAAGTTGGTGGGCAGTCACCACAGCAGTGATACCAGTTGGTAGCAAATCCACCTGCCCACTTGTCAAAGAGAACTTGGTTTATTCTGCTAGTTTGGAATTGGCAGCACACTGAATGACCAGGAAGAAACAGACCCTCAGGACAGATCAATGTGTGACTGTGCAGGGTGATTCTTCAAGCTGTGTATATGGTAATGTTTCTGAAGAGGTTAATTTTCATGTTTCATTTGCTGCACCCGTTCTACTGATGTCACGCATAGGCTGTGGGTGGGCACAAGGTGTTCTACTGTAGCTTTTGAAGGGAGCAGATCTATCTGGACCAGATCCTTAAGGTCCTGCTAATTTTACATGATCAGATGTGGCTGTATTTGTCATACAATAAACCTTCTCATTATCTAAGAACAGTGCCTCTTCTGTATCCTCTATCATGAATTACTAGGTAGACCCAAGAGAAGGCAAAAACAAAGGAGGATTGGTGGCTGCGAACTACCTCAAGCAATATTAGAAGTGGTGAATACCACAAGGCGCTAGCTGTATGATCATCTAGGAAAATACTACACAAGCCTCAGAAGTGGCCTATCCAAAACTAAGGATACACAACAAAATAGCCCTGAGATATCAAGTTGATTTTTTTTCAAAGTAGGAAAACTAGGATGTCATTAAACCCCAAAATGAATACGTACTGAAAATACTTGGCAGGTCAAGTCAGGCCAGGATTTGAGGAGAGAAAAGCAGAGTTAACATTTCAGCTGGATGACTTTTCATTGGAAGCGGAAAAAGTTAAAATCTAAGCAAATGCAGAACAATGGAAAAGGGGTGAAAGGAAAGAACAGAAATTCTGCGTTTTCAAGAATTATAGTGGAGAACACAGTGTTTTAATGACAATGGCATTAAACCTGTTCTAATAGCTTTAGAACCAACTTCTGATAACTGTGTGCCCCCTGGAGATTGCAGATTTTTATTTCAGCCGCAGCTTCTGATGAGAGTAAACTGAATGAATCACCTAAATTTCACCATACTGTTAGTACACTGCCTAATTCCATCTAAGCTAAAATTTAAACTTGCTCTTCTGTAATGGTAGATTAATTGTGGTACGATAGCTCAGTGGTTAGCACTGCTGCCTCACAGCGCCAAGGACCTAGGCTCAATTCCACCTTGGGCAATGGTCGCTTATAGTATAGTGGTTAGGATTTAGCTCTTTAACTGCCATGGCCCAGGTTCGATTCATGGTCAGGGAATAGAAGTCCTGCTGTGCTAATTTATCATGGTGACAGCACTTCTGACTGATTTTTCAGGAGCTGGCAGCTAGTCTGTTTTGGGGCAGCATGGTGGCTCATTGATTAGTACTGCTGCCTCATAGTGCCAGGGACCCAGGATCGATTCCAGCCTCAGGCGACTGTCTGTGTGGAGTTTGCACATTCTCCCTGTGTCTGCGTGGGTTTCCTCCCACAGTCCAAAGATGTGCAGGCTAGGTGAATTGGCCATGCTAAATTGCCCATAGGGATGTGTAATTTAGGTGGGTTATAGGGGGATGAGTCTGGGTGGGATGCTGTGAGGGTCGGTGTGGACTCCTCAGCAAAAGGTAACAAGTTTAAGATGTTGTTAATTGTTGGGCCGAAGGGCCTGTTTCCACACTGTAGGGATTCTATTAAAAAAATTCGATGAAAAAAAACTGTCAGTGTGCAGTTTACACATTCTCCCTATGTCTAGGTGCTGTGGTTTCCTCCCACAGTTCAAAGATATATAGCTTAGGTGGATTGGCCATGCTAAATTGCCCATTTTGTCCAGGGATATGCTGGCTAGGTAGATTAGCCGTGGGAAATATATGCTGAGTGTGGGTGGGATGCTGTTTGGATAACCAGAGTGGACTTGGTGGGCTGAATGATCTGCTTCCACACTGTAAGGAATTCTACAATTAAGCATGTGAATATGTTTCAGAAGCACAGTTTCTTATTCCAACTGTATTTGGCTGTGATTCTTACTTCCACAATGTCCTTGGTACCCTGGGGGCTTTACATTCACAGTTGTGTGTGATACTCAATAAGTTCCACACTATTTCCTATTGAGAGCAAGGTCAGAGGTACTTTAGAAGTGTGAACATTACTCACCTTTGATTTGTTTTAGAACAGGTTTTAAGAGATCCAACCAAACCTGCAATTAGTACAGAGATCTAAATCAGTATGTGTGGCAGGACAGATTGGATACATGTATACACAACATAGCTGGGTCACTTCACTTCAGAATAAAAGCTCTCACTGAGTAAGAGGCCTGTGTGATGTGTTGCAGGATGAAGGATGATGTTAGTTTCGCTGGGCAATGGTGACAGAGCTAAAGCATTCTGAGAGCTACCTTGTCAGCAAAATGAAAGGAGCAGGAACTCAGACTCAGCATCTCTTAACCAAGCAGTGGAAAGGTGAATAAAACATATCCATTTTGAGAAATGGATGGTCTGTTTTTATTCCAACTGCCGACCCTCAGATGCACAATCTGAAAATTTTCTTAGTAAAAGAGGCATCCTCAGCAGAAGGTAACAAGTTTAAGATCTCAGGATTCTGACAGGTGGCATTTACCCATGCACTGGAAAAAAGCACGGGCAGGAATTTCAATCCATGATTTATTAAGTTAAAAACAATTATTAGGACTGAAGTCCATTGGCCTTCTAATAACATCTCGGATACCATCTCCATAGCCAATTGATACTTAATTGGTACATAATTAAATCTTTAGTCCATGCAAGAGGCTTGCTACACCCAACACAGGAGCTTTTGGAAGTCATGTTGGTGCTATGCTTCCAGGTTGTTTTCTAATCTGCCTGGTCCAGTGGAACATAGAGGGAAAAAAGACCCTCTTTATTACTCACCACTGCCACTGAGGTGGCAAAAGCTTGGAATCTTCTCCATCTGAAAACCCTAGAACAGCACACACTTCTTGAATAATCTGTGGAACTGTGGAATGCTACCAATCCTTCATTGATGATCTCCTCAGCCAGAACATGAAACCTAAAGCCTTCTTCAAGTTTTCGAAGTTTTGTTTACTCTCTATTTGTATAGGTTGGATTGTAGCATTGAACATGAGAAAATAGCATGTTATTGTTTTATGATGATGTCCAAATACTGTTCCAGCATTTTTCCCTAAACCCAGCAATAAATAGACAATGAGATAGTAGGAACTGCCGATGCTGGAGTCTGAGATAACAAGGTGTAGAGCTGGATGAACACAGCAGGCCAGGCAGCATCAGAGGAGCAGGAAAGCTAACGTTTCAGGTCTGGACCCTTCTTCAGAAAATTTTCGGTCCAGACCCAAAACGTCAACTTTCCTGCTCTTCTGATGCTGCCTGGCCTGCTGTGTTCATCCAGCTCTACACCTTGTT